AACACTGGTTCAGAATTCAGCTACCTGTGTTGCTGCAGCAGTCGAGTGGCGAGCGATCCGGATCAGAACCTCCAGAATATCAAGAACAACCCGGGGGGAGGGCCGCACCACCTCCAGGATATACCGCAGCCGAGGAAGACCCTGCATTTTCAGAAAGCCCTGATGGCAACACAGAAATTTCAGTAATTCTGCATAAGCAGCAACTAACTTTGCAGAAAGAAAGCAATCTAAAGCTGGGGACACACTACATGACTAGCTGAAACATTCTAAGACTGACCTCAACACACTTAATGACTGTTTCCATCAACTGGAACAGATTTTAGTCTTTGACAATCGGAAAGGAGCACAAACCTAATGACTGAGTCACTCCACTACACAACACACTTAACGACTGGCATGTCACGACTGGACAAATTCTGCCAAACAACTCACAAAAACCGCAGCTGCTGCCCCACAACACTGCGGACAACACCGGTGCACTTTTACCTACTGAAACATTGAGGTCTGTTTTACTTTTCTTATGTTCTTAATTTAACAGAAAAGTTTTTTTCTGCTATGTTGGTGATCCTAATAAATGTCACAGCAATGTGTTTTGAATATGTTTTGCATTAAGTCCGATGCTCCTCTTTCTTTTTTGGAATTATTGAGTGAGTAGACACATTTCCTTATGTATTTTCAAATGCCTAGGCCTATGTTTAATTCCCTTAATTATAACATTTCTAGCCTATTTTTAAAAGTTTAGTCCAGCAACAGTTTATTAATTATCTCATGTATGTCTAAAATCAGGGATTAAAAATGAATTGGTTCCAAGTAAAAAGGGTAGGTAATTTTTTCGTTACATTAGGCTACTCGAGATTGGCTACCGGTTAGAACGAAATAAAAAATCACTTAATAAATTCAAGGCACTCTAATTTCCTCATCCATTTGACACAAAACTATTATATATAATTAATATATTTATAGAATAATTTTATTTCGTCATATTCGTGATTTATGATTTAGGTTATTCGTTCCTATATTCGTTATGAAGAAAATTCATTAGCCGCCCTAGCCTATTTGTTATGAAGTTGATTTAAAAATTCTTCACAACAAATTTGAAGAAGTTAAAAGTTGAGAAAAAATGGAAATAGCCCGTAGATAGGCCTATAGGCTAATTCAAATTTTTCTTAACTTTTATTAGACTGCAGATCGAAATAAAATAATTATTGATAATCTTTCAAATTAGAGAAATCACTGACATAATTTAGGCTATAATTTTCTTCGACTGCAGAGAAAACGAAACCATTTAATTTGCAGTGTTAACGAATTAAAAGAAAGTCAAGAAAGAAATAACAAGAACTATCGAGATTTTTCTTGCAATCAAGAAAAAAATATGACAAAATTACAAAACGAATGCTGAATGATGTTTGACAGTGAACGCATCTGCTCTGTATAGCTGCAATCTCTGGTGTCAGTCGCAAATATTAAACATGTTTTAAAAAATCTTTGTGAAAACGACTGGTTCTTTAATTCTAAGATTATAATCTTTAGATACCACATACTATGCAACTTTTTCTGCCGACTGTAAACAGCGACTGAGCCCAACTGGAATAGACCCGGTCCGATTGGGCACGATCCGTCATCAAGACCAATCCATTCATAATCGACCTGACAGTCGTGTAGTGTGTTCTCGGCTTTAGACCCCAGTTACCTTGACAACATCCTGCCTAGCAACATCATGATCTGTTTTTTTTTCTTCTTTCTCTTTAGTAGTTTCTTTCATGGTCTCATCCAAGCCTTCATCATCCTCGTCCTCATCCTCCTGAGCAGTGGGCAGTAAAGGAAAGGTTGCCATCCCGAGCAGCCATGAGAAAGCATTATCCAAGCACTCCTAGGATGAGACAAATTGGAAATGTTGTGGTTACTTGTAACCAGTGTTGGGGGTAACTCATTACAAGTAACGAGAGTTACGTAATCAGATTACTTTTTTCAAGAAACTAGTAAAGTAACGCATTACTTTTTAATTTACAAGAGAATATCTGAGTTACTTTTTCAAATAAGTAAAGTTACATTTTTCCCCCCAATTTATTGACTGACAGCTCTCCTGTTCCCACGTTGAGAAATCAGAAGATGTTACTGTAGTTCTAAAATAAATATGAATATGCATTAATTCATCTCACTCACACAAAAAAAACACAGATTCAGTATTCTTCAAAATGGATAAAAATAATGCAACTCAGAATATGACGCAAACCTGCAATAATTAAATGTTAAACAACACAAATATCCTTTATGTATTTAATCCCATTCTATTAGTGAGGGGACTGTGACGATTTGTTAATCTAATGAATAATTGATTTGTTAAATCAAATAAAAATTAGTGTGTCAGATTGGTCGAGATGCTACAATACTAATAAGCAAAAATTACTCTAGACAATCATTCGTGTGTCTTTTTTATTGCTGAAGTGTGTTGAAATTTCTTCTTCTGCATTCTACTGTACGGACTTAAATTTACTTTCTCTTCAGCCTGAGGCTTATTCATTTCACTTTTGGTGTGAAAAGGCTTTTATATTTGCCAAAAATATAACTTTTTTTATTTTAAAAACAAACAAGCAAGCCCTGTCCAGATTTTAAAAGTAACGCAAAAGTAACGTAATGCATTACTTTCCATAAAAAGTAACGAAATTAGTTACTTTTTTATGGAGTAACGCAATATTGTAATGCATAACTTTTAAAAGTAACTTTTCCCAACACTGCTTGTAACTTCTTGTGGCAAAAGTGCATAAACGATATGCAAGACGATTGTCTCTTACTTCACCGTCAGATGAAACCAGCAGAGCTCGCAAGGCATGCACTGCTGCTGACATCACACCCTCCACACTGTCATCCAGGGAGAACCGCAGAAGAAAGAGGACTCCAGCATCCAATAAAGAAGACAAGACGCTGCCCTTCAGAGAGGAAATGTACTCACCAGCCCGGGCCTGATGGAGAACACGTGTACAGTGTTTATAAGAGACAAATCTACAGAAACAGAAAGAAACAGCCACAAACCTTCTTTTGGCATTAAAAATCAAGTCATGATTTACTAAAGACAAGCAGTAAATAACTAGCAATGAAAAAGTGTGGATATATATGTCTTAACCCAGGCAGACAGATAGATAGATGTGCATCTTTAAGAGGATCCAGCATTTACTCTCTCATAATACCATCTTTGTGGACTCAAATCTACAAGAAATATAATGGCTTTTCACAGCAACTCAATGAACTTTTGTTTTAATTTTGAAATGTTTGTTTACTTTGGCCAGGACATTAGCGAGAGTGCTGATGGCCAGATTGCGCTGTTGGTTCAGCTGACTGCGAGAGAGGAGGAAAAGCTCTTGCAGCGAGTAGCCAGCCAGCTGGAACAGAGGAGAGAGAGAAATTTATAGTTAGTATTACACATATACAACAACTACACATGCCTGCATTTGACTAATACAAACACCTAAAAGAAGTTCTGGCATCAGTTCTAGAATTTAGCTGAACCTACTCACCTCTGGCTCCTCTCCATGGTGATGCAAGCCTAAATGGGTGGGCAAGTCTTTGGTGGGTGGGATGAGAGTGCCAGCAAAATCAAAACGTGCTTGCATAGCCTTTAATAAAGCATTCATGCAAACAAGAACATAGAATAACATTATTAAAGTCAGTACAAAAGGAAATGTCACCCTATTTTCTAAATGAATGTTGTAGATCTTGCTTCATGCATGTTTCACTTTTTAAATTTAGTTTTGACCTTGTAATTTTTGTTCAAAATGTTATAACTTGATCTTCCAATGAGATGACAGACTTCTCTCTGGTGATGTATGCCAGACTTCTCCAATCATTTTGCATGCATGCAGCAATGTGAGTTGTAGGGGTGGGCGATATACCAGTAGACACGATTAACCGGTAGAAATTTGTCAACCGGTAGAGATTTTGGACTATCTTTCTATCATGGTTACAGGCTCACGTGATGTTGCTGTGCTACGTGATCATGAAAACGTATTGGTTTGTACGTCCTCATACAGCGTGGAGGTATTAAACTGCTTTATAGGGCTTGTTATATTTATAGGAAGTTATATTTGCTGCTTTATAGGCCTTGAACGGTTAAATACACAGACACACTTGTCAAAATGCCCGTCTTTGCAAGTATCCTCGTAAACACAGTAGGTCTTAAGTGAAAACAAACAGCTGAGAAAGAAACTGTGTAACAGTATATTGGATCCAGGCAGCTCTTAAAGTGACAGCAGTCTAATATCCCTGCTGTCTGTCATTCATGTTAATCAAACAACAAAAGTGAAAATCTCTCACTGCTTTTGACTAAATTACTTTTGTAACTTTAATAAGAAGAAATTTATATTTAATTGACAGTGATGAATATGCAGTGTTTTTATAAATTTGATTATTTTATACAATGTATGTAGCATTTCTTATTTGCTTGTTCTACTGTAGTTTTTTGTCCTTTTGCTTGTAGTTAGTTTTTTATTATTATTTAATCGCTGACTGTCGTCAGTGAGCTTGAGGTTTTTTTTTGTTTTGTTTTTTTATTTAGGCTAGTATTAGTTTTTGTGATATTGACACTGGTGACATGAATTATGAAATTTCTATGGCATCAAAACTTTTGATATCAAAAAGACCTTATTTAAAGCAAAAATAACTATATTGTGATATATCTCGTTACCGTGAAATAAAACGACTCATACCGTGATATATGATTTTGGTCATATCCCCCACCCTAAGTAAGTTGTATGGGATATTTTTACATAATTGTGAGAAGCCGAATAATTTGAAGTATAATTCATGTCTGTAGTACAAACAATGCAGTATTAGTTACAGTATGTGCCATTTTTGGGGTTTTAAAAAAGTAAGTTCTACTGATGCTTGCCTTAACAAGCACAACTAAATAAACAACTCCTAAGATTTAGTGGTTTGTACTTTTTTGGTGCTCTGCTCCCTGGGTGCAGGAAGGTCTCTTGTCCATTCCAGTTTTTCTGGCTCCACCTTGTCCATGTGAAGCCATTCCTTTTGAGGCTTGATTGGCAGCTCCTTCTCTGTAAATAATAAATAACACCAATATTACAAATGATTAATAGTAACAGAGAGCAACAAAAAACACTAGACTTTCAGTTTAACAGCCTATTCCAGTTCCCATGCATATTGACATATACAGCACCACATGCTGACAGCAGTGCAACTACGGAAGGACTGTTCTCTGAACAGTAACCCCTGATGTGCTTCATCCATAAACGTCAATGAGTTCCTCTTATCTCTATTACCTTAAAACAAATTGGTGCTTGCTCTAGCTAACTCTGCTCTAATCAGTCTAATTGAAATTGATGCATCTGCTTTAGCATGCTGGCCTCACAGCTTAGCTGGACAGATCTGCAAAGTGTACAGTCCTGAATATGTGTGGTGAGTTCCAAGCCGAGGGTGAATAACGAACTGGAAACCATCCAACTTGTGCTGACAAGATTGAGAAGACCACATCTGGTACATTAGCTTTACTTTCTAATGCTATATGCATGCAGACCAGTCCAAAGTCCCCATTCAGCTTTCTTCATGAAACTAAAGCAATGCTGTAATACGGAGTAGTATGTGTCAAATAAATCTCAAATACGTAGGTTGACTGTGTGTGTAATAACATTTTTACAACATTTATTCACCATGCAGTGGTAGATGATGAGATCTGTCTCTGCCAAACAAGCCCTGAACTCACTTACCTGTAATTGGAGGTTGAGCTCCAAGCTGATTCTCATCTTCCTCATCCTCCTCCATGGTATCCCACTGAGACTCCTGAGCTTTTATTGTGTGGTCTAACTGTGGAGACGTGCTGTTAGGCAGAGGTTCATTCAGGAAGTCTTCTCTTTGCACAGGACCAGACGCTGACTCAGATCCTGGGGTTCTCTGTGCCCTTCGAGATCTCACGAAGTCTACTAATCTAGGGCCTGACATAAAATAACAACATGAGGGCGAAGTGAACAAAATGTCAGTTACAAAAAGCATGTTCCACAAATTAGGTCTAAAAATTAAGATATAAATAAAACAAATAAAATAAACAACACAAAATGTTAACAAAGTGGTCCGTGAAGGCTGCTTAAACTTCAGAAAACGGCAATCAAGCTCAGGAGGTCAAATTATGGACACTTTAAATTAAATATTTAATTTTATATGAGGTTTGCAACCCTGCTAAAATATGAGATATTTCTTAGCAACAAATATTAAATATATCTACCGATCAAAAGTTTGGTGTCAGTAGAATTTTTTTATGTTTTTTAAAGGGATAGTTCACCCAAAAATGTATTATATATTATATTAAAAATTATATTATTAATTACTCACCGTCATGTCATTCCAAACCCATAAGACCTTCGTTCATCTTCGGAACACAAATTAAGATATGTTTGGTCTTGCGGGTTTGGAACGACATGAGGGTGAGTAATTAATGACAGAATTTTCATTTTTAGGTGAACTATCCCTTTAAAGTCTTATGTTCACCAATACTGCATTTATTTGATCAAAAATACAATAAAACTGTAATGATGTAAAATTTTATTACAATTTAAATTTTAAATTTTAGAATTCTTTATAATATGCTGCTTTGGTGCTCAAATATTTCTTATTATTATCAATGTTGAAAACAGTTGTGCTGCTTAATATTTTTGTGGAAACTGATATCTTTTTTCAGGATTCTTTGACAAATCGAAAGTTCAAAACACATTATTTTATTTGAAATTAAAATCTATTTTAACATTATAAATGTCTTTACTATCAATTTAGATCAATTTAATGCATCATTGCTGAATAAATATATTAATTTCTTTAAAGAAATCTTAATGACCCCAAACTTTTGAATGGTAGTGTGCATAAAAATTAAATATAATTTATGCAATTACTATGCTAGAATGGGTTTGCAAATACAACGGTTGCACATTATAATAATTCAGAAGACTAGCTTGTTAGGGACCAACTAATACATGTACAGTGATGGCCAAAAGTTTTGGCAGTGACATAAATTTTGTTTTGCAAAGTTTGCTGCTTCAGTATTTGTAGATTATTTTTCCACATGTTTCTATGGTATACTGAAAAACAGAGTTTTAAAGGCTTTTATTAGCAAAAAAATATGAGTCAATATTTACAGTGTTGACCCTTGTTCTTCATAACCTCTGTAATTCGCTCTGGCATGCTGGATATTAGTTTCTGGGCCAAATCCTGACTGAGGGCAATCCATTCTTGCCTTATTAGTTCTCGGGAGTTTATCACAATTTGTGGGCTTCTGCTTGTCCCCTTGCCTTTTGAGGACTGACCACAGCTCCTCTGAGATCCGGGGAGTTGCCTGGCCACAGATCCAAAATTTGAATGCAATGATCTTCGAGCCACTTCTTGATCACTCTTGCTTTGCGACATGGTGCTCCATCATGCTGGAAAATCCACATATCATCACCAAATCACTGGATTGTTGGAAGAAGTTGTTGAGGGACGTTTTGATACCATTCTTTATTCATGGCAGTGTTTTGGGGCAGAATTATGAGAGAGCCCATTCCCTTGGTTGAAAAGCAACCCCACACATGGATGGTCTCAGGATGCTATCACTCTTGCTTTGCGACATGGTGCTCCATCATGCTGGAAAATGCACATATCATCACCAAATCACTGGATTGTTGGAAGAAGTTGTTGCAGGACGTTTTGATCCCATTCTTTATTCATGGCAGTGTTTTGGGGCAGAATTATGAGAGAGCCCATTCCCTTGGTTGAAAAGCAACCCCACACATGGATGGTCTCAGGATGCTTCACTATTGGCACGTCACAGGACTCATGGTAGCGTTCACCTTTTCTTCTCCGAACAATCGACTGGTAACTTTGCACCAGTCTTCTGCTGTCCAATCCGTGTACTTCATGCAGAATTTCAGTCTGTCCTTGACGTTTTTCTTGGAGAGAAGTGGCTTCTTTGCTGCCCTTCTTGACACCAGGCCGTTGTCCAAAAGTCTTGGCCTCACTGTGCGTGCAGATGCTCTCACACCAACCTGCTGCCATTCCTGAGCAAGCTCTGCACTGCTGGTGACACGATTCCGTATCTGACTCCTCAGGAGGAGACGGTCCTGGTGCTTGCTGGACACTCTGGGACGTCCTGAAGACTTCTTCACTGCAGTTGAACCTCTCTCCTTGAAGTTCTTGATGACCCGGTAAATGGTTCTTTCAGGTGCAATATTCTTTGTAGCAATTTCCTTGCATGTGAGGCCATTTTGATGCAAAGCGATGATGCTGCACGTGTTTCTTTGGAGGTAACCATTGCTAACAAGAACACAATGATTGGAAGCGCTTCTTCCCTCCTTTTATAGCAATCAGTCTGCTCTTACAATCTAAGGCCCTGTCCACACGAACGCGGTTATTTTTAAAACTGCAGCGTTTTCTATGCGGTTAGGCCGTTTGTCCACACGCAAACGCAGCACCAGTTCACTGAAACCGAACATTTTTGAAAACGCCTGCCAGGGTGAAGATTTTCAAAAACTCCGGTTGCAGTGTTATCGTGTAGACAGCAAAACCGGAGTTTTTGGCTTGTGACGTCTGCGCCTGCGCTGTTATCTCCGCCTACTGGAGACTTTTTCAGGCTTCTGATTGGCCAACATGGCTTTACGGTTGAGATTATATCGCCACCTGTTGGTTTGGCATGCTCTTGACAGTGATTCATAGTATGCGTTTGCGTTTTCATGTGGACAGAGATTTACCCGTGTACGTGTGGACATGGCCTAATTAGTATGATAGTGATTTCACCTGACTAGTACTCATTCACACTTTCACATGTGCTGCTGATATGATTAGTCAATTAATGTTAGCTGGTCATTTTGTGTCAGGATAAAAAAAACTGTGAAAATTGTTTTTTTTGTGAAAAGTTCATTTTTTTGGCCAATGAAGCTTTTAGCAATTATTTAAAATGCATCGGATTACTCTACACAATAATCTAGAAACAACGTGAATGAACACCACAACAGCTTAAGCAGCAAACTTTGCAAAACACAAAATTTATGTCACTGCCAAAACTTTGCCAACACTACCACGACTGTATATATTATAAATATATTTCCCAAAAACTAACAAATATATATTTGTATAGAGTATTTTTTTTCCTTACAATAACCTGAGTAGGGGGCTGTTGACACAGATCACATTTTTTAATATAAATCTGAAGATGTTTCATGTTTGGCATTAGAAGTTCAATTCAATTCAATTCAAGTTTATTTGTAGAGCGCTTTTTACGATACAAATCGTTGCAAAGCAGCTTTACAGAAAATTAAGTTTCAACAATATATTTCGTAGTAGCTTATCAGTGGTGACTATGTCAGTTAATGTACATATGGCCAAGCTGTGCCAGCAGCTTCCTCTGTTCCTCCAGGATCTCACTCTGGGACATCGCCTGCAACTTTGTCTGATTCTCCTCATGGATTTTCATTGTCTCCATGCCACTATTTGCAATCCCAAGTCCTTGACCCGTAAGTAGCACAGGGCCACCAACACGGTCTGTAACAGAAGCCCAATCAGAAATCAAGCATGCTTTAGTTAACCATGAAAAACTTAGTGGAATGTGACAGCACTTACCCATTACATTTGACTCAGGTCGCTCAGTCTCCATATTCTCCAATGGTGAGAGGCTCACATGTCTAGATGCAGAAGACTGATCTCTAGTCTCTGAACAATTTAAAGACTGAACATCTTCCTTCTTAGCCCTTTGTGCTGCAATTTGACGTGCAAAAATACTTTTTCTTCCTTTAGGAGCTCTTTCCTGCCCCTAAGCGCAGTGAGAAATACAGAAAGGTCAGAGAAACAAACAAGCTGGGAAGGATTTGTATGCATGTATAATATTTGCTCACCTCACTTTCCATTACAGATCTATGCAAGGCTTTAGGGAAAGCAGTGCCTGTGATACACGGGAGCGACACAGGTACTGCACTCGTGTCCCTCTCCTTTAGGAAGACATAAACAATAAGCATGGCACTGGCATGTTGACATTCAGTCAAACAACAGGCACACTGTAATAAATGTGACTCACAATGATTCTAGATAGGACAGCACTGATGTGGGTATCATGTCTGTCCAGTCGCTCTCCTGGGTCCTCATCTTCAAAACGCACCCGCTCCTGTTTGAAGCGTGACTTCTTTGGAGGTGCAGGGGTCAAGGTGGGAAGCTCATCTGGAAGATCTGAAGGTGTAGATGAAATCATTTCAGTACAAGGTTAATATAAGTTTGTTTTACATCAGCCTGATCTTATTTAAGCAGGCCTAATGAAACTCATCATTACATTTGTTCAAGAAAGAAATGTTTAAAGATAACTGACAGAACGTTCAGAAATGTTTAACCTACCTTCTATAGTCACAACATCTCTCTGGTTTCTCTGATCCTGTGCATCAGCTGCGGCAGCGTCTCCTCTGCGTTTATCAGGGCGCTTCACTACAGCGACAGTGGACTGACCGCCCGCCGCCTGAAGCTCCTGCTGCTCCCGGAGCAGATCCGCCTCGCTGTCCGTGGGCTTGGGACGCCGCAACATCCCAGCTCCCGAATTAACACAAGGGCGTCTAATGGTTCGGAGGAGACTGTCAGAAATAATAATGTTAAATAATGTATGTTAATAATGTAAAGTTTTCTTGTTGGCTTGGAGAGGATAATATGCACATTTCCAGCAAGTTTCTAATATTGTTAATGATCAGCACAGCAATGATGGAAATATTCCTTTATTGTAAATCCAGTTAGGTCATCTATCAGCTATTTGACTGAATATGTACACTAAACGCACAGCCACAACCAACACATGTAGAGTTTACAGACGTGACTCCATTTCCGGGTTATTATGCGTAGCCATTACAAAATAAAAGCCTTTCGGTTTAAGAGCTTTTTTTTACATAAAAGATTGCATCGTTATTAAATTATATAAATATATAATATAACACAAAATAATGCATTTAGTTCTATTATATATTCTTAATTTTATTTTTATTTACATTACTAGAACCTTATTTTATTTTCCCTTTTCTATCGTCGAAATTATATTATATTAAAATGTACTATAATATTAATTTATTTTATATTAAAAATATTAAATAATACATATAATTTTATAAATATATCAACGACGAAGAGGCTTGATATAAAGGATAACAGAAATTATATTTGAACAAGAATATCCTAAGAGAAGCTTCATTATAGAGATATTGTCTTAAAATGCATGTCTGAGTAGTATCTCTGGCTTTCCTCTGATCACTTTGGCAGTTTATACATGTAGGTACATCTGTTTATCATCACATAGGCTTATGTTTATCATTATTCTATCTTATAAGTTCATATATTAGCAGGGAATTAACTTTTAAAACATTTCTACCCTATAAAATGCTTCATATTTAATTAGTAAGTTAGAAATGAGTTAATATCTAGTTACATTTGTTATAATAATAATATCTTCACGGACAATATTTATGACAAACATGGCAAAACAATTAAGCAACACCTTTATCTATATGCTGATCGCATCTCGCGCAGTTCAGCGAGTTCAGTATAAACACAAATCAAAGAATCAGCTTCGGTCTCCATGAGACTTTGGAGAGCAGTTGTCGTTTTTTTTCTTCTCCGTCCTCCGCAGTCTCCCCGCGGTCTCCGCCCCCCAGTCTGCCCGAATGGGAACACCCAGAGCGGGATCCCCGGCGTTCCTGGCATCCATCCCAAACACAGCACCGCCGGACAAAACAACGTCCTGCTGAAGCGTGTTTCATTGAGAAAAGCGGCGTATAGCAGAGAACATATTTGCCTGCAATGTTACACCTGCCGCAGGATGTTGTCTCTAGATCTGGAAACTGATAGCTGCTGAAATGTACAGACACTTATGGGACAACAGCATACTTTCTCAACTCAGATATCATCTGAGTCCATTTTATATTCAAAACACAAACTTTTCAGATTTTGGATCAGTTAAGTTAAATAAAATTAGCCTCTTAGTATGTTTTAGTCAGTGAACTTTCAGTAATAAATGACATTTTCATCATAATTTGTATTCAGAAGCTCAGCACCCTTGAGTGAGATTCAAACCCACAAACTCAGAATTAGGAGCAAAGATCCTTTCCCACTTACAAACAACTTCTGTGCATTGCCAAAGATGTGTACAAAGTCCAGAATTAGCACACAAAAGCATTGCTGAGCTACTGTCCTGCAGGTTTTGATTTTGAATATAAAAAAATCTATTTGATAGATCTTTTTTGATTGAAGACACAAGACAAAGTTGCAATGACATCATCCACCATATTTTGCTTCATCCATACCATTGCCTGGATTCACAGTGCTCTATGATTTTCACGATGTGGAAGAGAAGGCAGAAATTGTGGAATAGCATCATAAAAATGGAATTACCTGTAAAATGTTCAAATGGTTAACCAGTTTAATACAGGCCAATTATCTGAAGCTAGTGAGTGCTTGTCTTAGGTTTAATAGACATAATCTGAAGACTTTGTGCCAGGATGTACTGCAAGTAATTAAGTCTGAACTGAGGAATTGCAACAAATCCTTAGTCTTGTCAGGCCCCACTTTCTCACATAGAGCTATATATCCCTCTAGTCATGTTAAGGGTTTACTGTCAGAGCGTTGTCTGCACTTTATTTGAATTAGACTCAAATGAATGTCCATTGCAGATACAACTATTTGAAAATCTGGAATCTGAGGGTGCAAAAAAATCCAAATATTGAGAAAATTGGCTTTAAAGTTGTCCAGATGAAGTCCAATGCATATTACTAATCAAAAATGAAGTTTTGATATATTTACGGTAGGAAATTTACAAAATATCTTCATGGAAGATGATCTTTACTTAATGTCCTAATGATTTTTGCCATAAAAGAAAAATCTATAATTTTGGCCCATACAATATTTTTTTTGCTATTGCTACAAATATACCCCAGCGACTTAAGACTGGTTTTGTGGTCCAGGGTCACATATGAGGTTTGCAACCCTGCTAAAATATGGGATATTTCCTAGCAAAATATATTAAATATATCTACCGATCAAAAGTTTGGTATCAGTAGGATGTTTTAATGTTTTTTTTAAAGGGATAGTTCACCCAAAAATGTCATTAATTACTCACCCTCATGTCATTCCAAACTTAAGAACTTCGTTCATCTTTGGAACACAAATTAAGATATTTTTTTATGAAATCCAAGAGCTTTCTGACCCTCCCCCTAGACAGCAACGCAACTACCACGATCAAGGCCCAGAAAGGTAGTAAGGACATCTTTAAAATACTCCATATGACATAAGTGGTTCAAATGTAATTTTTTAAAGCTATGATAATACTTTTTGTGTGCAAAGAAAACAAAAATAGTGATTTTATTCAGCAACTTCTTATCAAAGCCTGTTTACAAAGTCTAGCATGTTTACATCTGCCAAATGCCAATGTCTGTATACAGTGTGTGCATATATATACATGTATCTTGTAATATTTATACACAAACATACATCATACATATATTTATTTTACCCTCTGCACAACTCTGTATACAGTGGATTGATTTTAATAACTTTAATGTACTTGAAGTGTGCACCAAACATACATTAATGTAATATACAAGTATCGGATCGGGACTCAGTATCAGCAGATACTTAATATTCAATAGAATTGATTCAATTGACTTAATATTCCATGACTCGGATCTGGGGCACAAAAAACCTGATCAGGACATCCTTAGTAATTTCTTTTTTCTTTCATTATTCTATTTAGCTTTTATTCTTTTTTAAGTTTTAGTCATTTTAGTACTTCAACTTAACTTTATTTCAGTTAGTTGGTAAGGCAACATTTCTATTTTTGAATTTAAGTTTTTCATATAATATTTATATTTATTATTTTATTGTTATTTTTCAGCTTTATTTCAATTACCAAAAACATTGTTTAATAGTTTTAATTTTAGTTAACAGCACTGATCTAAATATATTTTATTCTTTTGTCCAATATAATTTCCTCATATAAGTGACATTAAATCTCTGATGGTTTGTATTGTATTCATTACCTCGTTTTCTTATTCACAGTATTCCCAGCAAGCCTGTGTGCCTTACAATATGTTTATTACTTTTTCTCTTTCTCATTATTCCTTGTAGCAATGGCCAATAAAGCAGTCCCTAAGTGCCTCTATGTGCCGCGAGACGCACTGGCGATGCCTCCTCCTTTCGCTGCTCATGTACAGCTGCCTGGGTGCCGTGACCTGGTGTCAGCTGACCCAGGTCACCAAGCTGAGCTTCGATTCCTCCAGTACTTCCCTCACAGCCTCAATGAACTCTCTCAGAGGAGGAGGTCGCGCCATGATATACCATGACAGCCCTTGCTCTGATGGTTACATGTACATCCCCTTGGCCTTCCTGCTCATGCTCTACGCCGTTTACCTTATGGAGTGCTGGCACTGTCGCGCCCGCAGCGACTTACAATGCAAGGCCAATGTTGAGAGTGTGTATGACAGGGTTCTGCGCATGCGTCAAGCCCGACCGTGCGTCTGGTGGAAAGCCATCAGTTACCATTTCGTACGCAGGACTCGACAAGTAACGCGTTACCGGAATGGAGATGCCTACACAACCACGCAGGTTTATCACGAGCGTGTTAACACACATGTAGCCGAGGGCGAGTTCGACTACAGTTGCTGTGGAATGAGAGACGTCTCGCGCAACTTGCGTGGACTGGAGGGTCACGCGGCAACACGGTTGCATTTCTCCAAGTGCTTTAGCTTCACAGGAGCAGGACCTGAAAATGCTTACCTCAACCAACGAGCCAGGTTCTTCTCAGAAATCGAGGGACTGGATGACTACATGGAAGCCCGCGAAGGCATGCTGCTGAAGAACGTTGACTTTAAGGAGCACCTCATCGCTTACGTGGATCCTGACCAAATGCCGTGGTACACCTCGCGGGTCACCTTCTGGTTGGCGGCTCTCCTCATGCTCTCCTGGCCACTGCGAGTTCTGATCGAGTACCGCACGGCATTTGTGCAATACCAAGTCGAGAAACTCTTCGGACTAGAGTATAGCAACAACAGTCCATCTCCAGAAGCCGACGCCACCTTGAGAAACACTCGCTATGGCCTTCCGAGAGCAGAAACGGTCGACAGTACGGAGCTGGAATGGCACATTCGCTCAAACCGCCAGCTTATACCAAGCTACTCAGAGGCCATGCTGATGAACCTGGGGACTTCTGGGTCAAACCACAGAGACAGCATTTCCTCCAACCGCTTGCTGTTGGACAGCTGCTCGACGCAGAGCTACGGGACACTGGTGCAGAACTGTGAGCACTGTTGCCAACACGAAGGCGGGCAAAGACGGCCAACTATCAGCTCTAGCTGTTCCTCCATCTTCTCTCGCCACACCTTCCACTCCCGTTTGTCCCTGGACACATCGCACTTCTCGCTGTGCCGCATGTACGGCTCCAGGCGCACTGTGGGACTGTGGAGGAGCCGCAGTAGTACACTTACAGAGCGCTGCGGCCCCGATGAGCAGTGCTGCAGGTCTTACACCAGTCAGCTTGCGCTTAATGACAGCCCACCGAACTACCAAGATGCCCGCTTCTTCCCAGTCCTCATTGTACATCGGCCTGAGGGCTGTGGGGACTCCTCTGAGGTGAGGAGATATTATGTTCGGAGAGGCTCCTGTTGTGTGGAGACTTCGGTTTAAAGTGGCTTGAAGTGGTCAAGCTGGCTAATTCAGCGATAGAAAACATTTGTTAAACATTATTATTTGCACTATGCAGAAAGTGGACTTGATGGCTGTTGCTTGATGCCGAACTGATGAAGTGTATTCTCTGAACTGTCTTGCTCTAACAGCTAACATGTGCAAAATTAGAAATGTGGCTTATTCAGTGCAGCACTGAAGACTGTTTTTGTTTACATTTTGATTTCAATTAAAGGGCTGGATTGAAATGATCAATAAATAGAACCAGTTTTTCATACTATTTATGAACAGCTGGCTGACAAATATGCCAGCTTTAATAAATTAATATAAAAAAGAAAATCTTTCAACACATTACACATATATTTTATGTCAAAAACATGCATTGCTTGTGAAGGATAGTGTTATGACTGCCGACTTGCTCTAAGAGAGAAGAGAGAAAGAGAGAATATAAATTCAATAGCTGCCATTTTGCCTTTGTTACTAATCTTAAATGTTTTTAAAGAAATAATTTTATAACAAGTTATATATAAGTTATTTATATACTAACTATTATAAATAACTAATATATATAGTTATTTATGAATATATATAATGAATATATATTTATATATATATATATATATATATATAATTAAAGACTCATTATATATATTCATAAATAACTATATATATTAGTTATTTATAATAGTTAGTATATAAATAACTTATATATAACTTGTTATAAAATTATTTCTTTAAAAACATTTAAGATTAGTAACAAAGGCAAAATGGCAGCTATTGAATTTATATTCTCTCTTTCTCTCTTCTCTCTTAGAGCAAGTCGGCAGTCATAACACTATCCTTCACAAGCAATGCATGTTTTTGACATAAAATATATGTGTAATGTGTTGAAAGATTTTCTTTTTTATATTAATTTATTAAAGCTGGCATATTTGTCAGCCAGCTGTTCATAAATAGTATGAAAAACTGGTTCTATTTATTGATCATTTCAATCCAGCCCTTTAATTGAAATCAAAATGTAAACAAAAACAGTCTTCAGTGCTGCACTGAATAAGCCACATTTCTAATTTTGCACATGTTAGCTGTTAGAGCAAGACAGTTCAGAGAATACACTTCATCAGTTCGGCATCAAGCAACAGCCATCAAGTCCACTTTCTGCATAGTGCAAATAATAATGTTTAACAAATGTTTTCTATCGCTGAATTAGCCAGCTTGACCACTTCAAGCCACTTTAAACCGAAGTCTCCACACAACAGGAGCCTCTCCGAACATAATATCTCCTCACCTCAGAGGAGTCTCCACAGCCTTCAGGCCTATGTACAATAAGGACTGGGAAGAAGCGGGCATCTTGGTAGTTTGGCGGGCTGTCATTAAGTGCAAGCTGACTGGTGTAAGACCTGCAGCACTGCTCATCGGGGCCGCAGCGCTCTGTAAGTGTACTACTGCGGCTCCTCCACAGTCCCACAGTGCGCCTGGAGCCGTACATGCGGCACAGCGAGAAGTGCGATGTGTCCAGGGACAAACGGGAGTGGAAGGTGTGGCGAGAGAAGATGGAGGAACAGCTAGAGCTGATAGTTGGCCGTCTTTGCCCGCCTTCGTGTTGGCAACAGTGCTCACAGTTCTGCACCAGTGTCCCGTAGCTCTGCGTCGAGCAGCTGTCCAACAGCAAGCGGTTGGAGGAAATGCTGTCTCTGTGGTTTGACCCAGAAGTCCCCAGGTTCATCAGCATGGCCTCTGAGTAGCTTGGTATAAGCTGGCGGTTTGAGCGAATGTGCCATTCCAGCTCCGTACTGTCGACCGTTTCTGCTCTCGGAAGGCCATAGCGAGTGTTTCTCAAGGTGGCGTCGGCTTCTGGAGGTGGACTGTTGTTGCTATACTCTAGTCCGAAGAGTTTCTCGACTTGGTATTGCACAAATGCCGTGCGGTACTCGATCAGAACTCGCAGTGGCCAGGAGAGCATGAGGAGAGCCGCCAACCAGAAGGCAAAGATTGTTATTATTATTATAGCTGTCATTTTCATTATTATTATTATTTTATTTTGTTAATGCTAATGAATATGAACACTGAATGAGTATGTTGGCATCACAAATTGTCTTCATGTCTGGTTTATATAAGCAAAGGTTGCATGGCAATTTGCTTACATTGTTGAGAGAGACTCATCATATAACAATCCCCCTTATGGCCTGACCTGTATGTTTGAGGTATGGATGTGAGAAAGTCAAGAAATGCTGTTGAAATGGCAGTGACTGTTAAAAAATAGTGGAGAATAAAATTGCTCCAATGCTAAAACATGAAAATGTCTGCCGACTATTTTATTTGCTTTTAAATTAATATTTTTCGCAAACAACTTTCTCTCTTTGACTTTATGCACTGACCCATAGCCTATATTTAGTGCTGAATGAAGCATGTAAGTGATTGTTTTCCTACCTCCAAAGAATAGAGCTTGGGAAACTACGTCACTGCGCATTGCATTCTGGGTAGTCGCGGCCATGTTTGGGGACACATTCGTCAGCTGTCAGGATATTAGTACACAGCGATAATAAACAGAAATAACAATGGACCGAAAGATGATCAAGTGTAAGATTACATATAAAGAAAAACTCAACAAGGAAGCAAAGTTGCGGTACTTAGAAAAAATCAAGACAATCAATTCTATCCATACGAACTCAAAGAGTGGTCCAGTGATCTTAACGAGCTACCGCACTTAACCTTCCCTGATGTATTTTCTTACCTTGTTTGTGGTGTCAGTGCGTACACATTTGAGCAATTTAAAAATGATAAATAAATCTCTCGAGGCCCACCTGCAATTTACAAATGGATGGTGTTTATGAATACGTAACATGTTTAATGTAAGGCTGTCAAATCGATTAATTGCATCCAAAATGAAAGTTGTTTATATAATGTATGTTTTATGTATATATAAATGCACATGCATACATATGAATATATTTATTTACATGTGTGTGTATACTGTATATAGGCCTACACATGTAAATGTGTCTTATGTATACACACATGTATGCATGTGTATTTATATACACATGTAAATATACACAGTACACAAACATCAATCACAAACTTTTATTTTGGATTTGATTAATCAAGATCAACTGATTTGACATCCGCGATCTGCCAACACCAAGTCCCCGGGCAATAGTTTATTAAGAAGACCACTATTCTCAGTCACATGCTTGTCACTGACACAACCTCCCCACCCTTGGGAAATGAAAAAGATAGATCCTCGTGGTGTAATGCCAAGGAGATACTTTAGGGTGTGCTGGTGTTTATAGTGGGAAAATGTCTGCGCTCTAGCTTTGAGATTTGATGCTCTTTCAATGCAAATTCCAAGGCAGTCCACAATAACTGCTACTCGATTGCCAAAAGCCTCTACAAACTGATGTGGCATGGTGGCCTGCATGCAATGTCTCTCTGGCCAGTGCACCGAGGGTTTGAGATGTTTAAACATTGTACCTATGGTATCTCTGAATGTGGTGGACACAGTCTTTCGATCCACAGAGAAGAGGTATGCAATGTGCTATATTGGGAGATTCATCCTGAGGCGCATCAGTGTTGAAAGGAGCATCTGAAAAGGTGAGAGTTTTCGGCCAGTCTGTGGCAGGCAGGGAAGAAGCTGTTTCAACACACCCATCAGAAGCGCAAGACATGGAAGCCCAGTGTAGTACTTCACCTTTGCATCATCATCTTTAAAATAATCCTCATCCATCTTCTTTTGAGCAAGCTCTTCCTTCAGTCTCCTGTTCTCCTCCAACAAGCAGTTAATTTCCGCACACCTGCAACTACAAAGATGGCATTCCTGCTGTTCTGCAGTGTTGTAACTTGAGTCTCCGTCATCCATTTGTGAAGCATCATCTGCTGTTGCAGCTTCATCCATCAGTCTCTGGCCAGCTACATCTAGTGGTGCAGGTGCTGCATGATCCCCTGTGACAGATTGCAGTCTCCTTGTACTCCGGTTAAACCGCCCAGGGAGCGTTGCTTTAACTTCTGTGTGCCCGAGATGCAATGATGGTACCCAGTCAGGATCGCACTCTAGCATTTCATAGGCTGGCTTGCCTAAAAATAAAAGATGATTTAATTAGTTATGTAGTTATTCAGCCAGTTACCCAGTGTTTGTCAGGATTGCGGGTAAAGATAAGGCAAGGACTCAAATGCAGAAAGCAAAGGGCTTTATTGAATAATAAAGCAAAACAAACAAAACAACCCCATGGGGGAAAACTAGACAAGGACACAACCAACGAAGACACGAGACAAGAGTATATGGTGAGGAAATGAACACTCAACACACAGACGAGGGCGCACAAACGCGACCCAAGCGAACTCGCTCTCACAAAAACAAGATACACGAGTGTCAGGGCCAAACCAGACCAAAGTGACAGAACCCTAAAGTTAGCAGCGTAACAACAACTCCATGTTTGCACTGCTAGTGGTAAAAACAACAACAACAAAAAGTTAGACATGTTTTGTTTATAACTTACCTTAAACTAACTTTGTGAAAATGCTGTGAACAAACAAGCGTGTTTCGGGAAATGTTGTTGAAGGTAATGGTTTTCCTTCTTACTGCTGCTACCCAAGTCATGCAACGCCGCCTTGTTAACTCTGAGACCTGAGATCCAAGGTGCTGTTTCCAGGCAGGAAAGCAGAAAAATCTCAATCCATTTGAGATTCGGTTTCCACGCCGGTGTTCTGACAATTTGTGCTACCCTGTCAGATTTTGCTACCTCCCATTAAAACAGATGGTAGCATAATTCGATAGCAAAAAGTGCTACCTATCAGATTTTGCTTCCAGCATGATATTATTAAAGTGTGAGGCTTTATTAACATGTACACCTACCCCAACCCTAAACCTACCCTTACAGTAGGATAAATACAGTGTTGGTAGCATAATCTGATATGTAGCATTATTTGTCAGAACACCGGTCGTGAGTGCGATTATGGCAGCTAATTACACAACAAGCTTTCACCGTTGATACGTATTTTTAGCTGTA